TATGGGGGCGCAGCCAAGAGCCCCAGTGGCAGAATCGCCGTTGGGTAGGGGGGAATTCGTGGTCGGCCGGTGGGCAATGTTCAGGGGAGCGGCTCGAGGAACGAGTCTCCCAGACCTCACGTGAGGGTCAGGGGGAGGATAGGCTCAGGGGTCGGGTGCTGCCAGAAGTGTCCCTACCCAAGGCGTCCCAAGGATTTCTCAGGAGGCCCCCGCGGCCTCTAGAGCACCCCTCACGAGGTCCAAAGGAGCCCCAGGGGGTCCAAAACGGAGCGAACAGCTGGGGGCACCCTGGGCCATGGACACATGTAACCAGGCACCGACACGGCCCCCTGGAACCCAGAACCGGCCAGATTACCTGCAGGACAGGTTCCGCGGGACACGCTCCAACTCCGGGCGGCGGCAGCGCCTTCACCACGAAGGAGGCACAGGGGGGGGGAATAGGCTCGAGGGGGATCGCTCAGGAGATAGGCACAGGGAGCAGTCGTCAGGGGCAGGCTCGAGGGTCGAGGCCCCCCTGAAGAAACGCGCGCCTCTCCTTCACCTTTTTGGCCCGCGGTGGCCATCTACGGCCTCTTTCGGGGGCACGTTCATGCAGTCCTCAATCCGGGGGGGGATACCTGTGGGGTGGTGGGGAATAGACGGGGGATGAAGAAACGTGCGGGTTTCCATCATCTGTTGGGCCCGCGGTGGCCGTGTAGAGGCCGCTCTTTGGGCCACTGTCCTGTAATCCTCGATCCCCCGTCGCCCCCCCGTTTGTTGCCCCCCCGCGGCCGGGCGCCCAAGGGAGCGGGCGAGGGCGGCTCATGCGCCGGCATCGACGGTCGCGGGTCGAGGCACGAGGGTCCATACCTCGGGGGATCCGCGCTGCGAAAAACAAACCACGACGTCAGAGTGATGTTTGCACAAGTGTTTAACCAGTCTTGGGCCTCTCAAAACTTTCGGGGGCCTCAGTGGGGCCTCCAGAGACCCCAAGGGACCTCCGGCCAGACAATGTCTGTGAGTTGCCGTCGGAGAGTCGTTGTCGTCGTCATCGTCGGCGTCGGTGGGTAAGGAGAAGGGGAGCCCCAACCAGACCAAAGAGGGCGCGCTCTAGGCTTGGTTAGGGCTTTTCCTGGGAGGACGAATGCCGACCCAACGCTGAGGGAACCCTACATTGTTGGTTTCCCTGCCCAAGGGGGCAGGGAGGAGAGAGAAGGAAGGATCGAGTCTCGAGAATCGAAACCTGTGCCATTTTCTTTTGCCATCAGGAGGCATCCGGGGTGCCGTCGGGAGCCTCAAGAGACGTCTCACACCCTCCCCTGTTCTCAACGAAACGGGTCCTGAGCTTTTCCCTGGGTCCGCCTGTTCATCCTGGGTAATCATCTGAGGGCCCCGGGGCCCAGGAAGGGCTCAAGGAGGCCGCAAAGGGGGGGATGTGCCTCAAGACCCCTTTCATGGTGACAGCCCTCCACGCCCCACTGGCCCCAAGCAGAAGCCGTACAAAAGTCTACAACGCCGGAATGACGATAGACAGGGAGGAAGAGAGACACAGAGAGAGAGAGTGAGCGAACAAGAGAGAAGGAGAGAGAGAGAGAGAAACACAAAAAGAAGAAGAGAAAGAGAGAGACAGAGATAGAACAACAAAAAAACTAAAGAAACCGAACAAACACGCAAGAACGAGACACATTGATGAATATGTGTAAAGGAAGAGGGGGAGAGGGAGGGCGGGGGGGAGAACGGATGAGGGAGGAAGAGGGAGTGAGAAAGGATGAGGGAGGGATAAATGAGAAGAGAGAGAGAGAGGGAACACAAAGGAGCGAGAAAACGAGAGTGAGAGAGAGAGAGAGAAAACAAAAAAAGGGAGGGAGAGAGCTCTCCGCGCCCCTCTCTCCCTCCGCATCCTTCCCCCCTCCCTCCCTCCCATCTCAGCCTGCCTACACGCACGCCTACAGGCCATCCCTGCTTATTGGCAACCCCCTTCTCCTGACATACAGGCACGCCGCGGCACGCCTACAGGTCTTCCGCGCCCAAACTACAGAGAGGTGTATAGGCCCTCCCTGCCTATAGGTACTCCCTCGTTCACTCCATGCCTACAGGCACGCCTACAGGAACTCCCTGCATACAGGCAGTCACAGTCCTCAAAGGAGGCGCATGTAGGTGCTACCCGCGGAGCCTATCTGACTGCGCCGGCCCGTAGGGCGTAGTAAAGGTCGGAGGCGCTCGCAGAAGGGATGAGCGCCGCGTAGAAGCGGGAATCTACCGAATAGGTCACAGTCCATGGATCCCTCCTCCCTCCTCCCTCACTCTCCTCCCTCCTGGTCCTCCATACATCTCAATCCCTTCTCCCTCCTCCTCGCTGTCTCCCTCGCTCCCGCCTCATCGCCTCCCTCCTCCGTAGCCATTTTGGCGCAAATCGTTTGGCTCAAGGCCATCGATTGGCCCAGGTGATTCGGGTGCAACATCGCCCCGCGCTTCTGGCCTCATGCGCGTCATCCCGCGCTACGAGGCGCACGGACGGTCGCGCTGCCATGACGTCCGCATCCGTTCGAGTTGACAGGGTTGATCGTTGTCAAGGATAGGGCCGAGCTGCAGATTGGTGGCTGGGACAAGGAGGACATCATCAGCGCGGCATCTGAAGGCGCTCGTCCTGCTCTACGCCGTCGGCGAGAACAACAAGGAGCACAGGACCTCCAGCACACTCGTGTCTGACGCGTCGTCCTCTGCCGCGCAGAATGCGGAGCTGAAAAGCGAAGTTCGGCTGGGCACCGATGCCACCTTCAACGCCCTGCCGAAGAACCCTGTCCCGTTCCACAGCGTAGGCGAAGAACAACACCGACTACAACACCTCCGTCACCGTCGTGCCTAACGCGTCCTGCGCTGCGACTTGCCTTGCCCCGCTGACCAATGAGGTCGTGGGGAAGGAGTGCCTGAGCGTGGACTGGAAAGACGTCCAGGTGTTTCAAGAGCATGTCCTTGCGTCGTCCCTGCTTCCATCTTGAAGACCCTGGCGCCTCTTTCAACAATAAGACGCCTTCGCGTCCGTCACGCTCGCTGTCACAATGCTGTTATATGGTTAACGAAATTGTACGTATGGCCTCTACCGTCCAGTGAGACGCCAATCTCAACTGTATGCGCTCTCTGCCAGCCAACTTATCAGCACGATCAGGCCTTGTCCCGAGATGTGCGTGCTCCCTGCTTTCGCGGATCTTCCTCGCCCATCACCCCCCATCTCCCCCCTTCGCCAACTGGAGCCACTCGCTGTGACATGCAGAAAAAGAAATGTCTTCCACATGGTGATAGCAATCGTAAGTACAGCCGCTGGGGTCCCCTGAGACCCCCAGTCTCAGCCCCCCCCCTTCCCCTCTCGCCCACTGGAGCCACTTTCCGTTGCACGCAAGAGTTTTTCATACTTGCTGTGTGTCCGAAACCCAGCGCCTCGAACATCCGTTCCCAAACCCGCTTATCCACTTCGAGGCTTCTCCAGGACCATGTCCCTGCCTGGCGGGGACTCCCCCTACGAACCCGCTCCCCCAGTTCAGGTAGAGCTACCACCGAAGCAACACAGCGTCTGATGTTTCGTTGCGAGCTCTCGCGTGAGCACCACTCAACAGCGAATGAAAACGAGCGAGTCATACGTCTGCATCGGACCGACCGACCCCTCACTCCTCCCCTCCCTCCAACCCCTCCCCGCCTTTTACCACACCTTTTACACACGCACACGCACACACACACACACACACCGAGAATGATCACGACGACGACGACAACGGACGACGACGGCGCGGGCGATCAGCGGCGACGAGGACGACGGTGTCAAATCCTCGTCGAGAAGAGGAACTCCAATGGGCTAGTATCGTAAAATGAATCCGTGTCCCCCACCACCAACTCTACTGTTAGATTCCAAGACATATGATATCCAGACTCCAGAATGATAGACCAAACTGGTTAAATTGTAAATCTTCATCTGAACCGTCCCCCACTCAGGCTCAATCGCTATCATTCCGGTAAACCAAGCCCCTGTCTGGATATGATGGACGGGGGGGTCAATGATCGAATATCATGAATGCCAGTGTGGAGCCCGGGGGTGGGGGACAAAGTGATAATCATGTACAGAAGAAATGCTGGGGTAATGTTCCCGCGATGATACCCCTAGAACATTGTAAACCTAAATGTATACTGTCCAGGGGGATCGTTACGAACCCCATGCAACACAACATTGCAAATCTGGGTTTATCATGTTCCTGGGGGGGCATGATGAACCCCAGTAAGTATTCCCCGAACGTCTTAAACCCAAATCCATTTCTTTTTGGCGTCCATCCTGGCGTCGCCGCACAGGGAAAGGTTTCCTGCTCAAATTGGGCACCTGGCCCCCCGGATTACAACAACAACGGCTCCCGCCGGAGACTTCCTCCAAATTTACTCAGGACCCCCGCTCCTGAGACTTCCTCACAATTTACTCAGGATCGGTGCTCCCGCCTGTGCTTTCCCCTCAAATTAGTCAGGACCCCCGCTCCCATCCGATACGTCCTCACAATTTACTCAGGAACGGCTCTCCCGCTTGAGACTTCCTCGCAATTTAATCAAGACTTCCTCGCAATTGAATCAAGACCCCCGCTCCCGCCAGAGAGCCCCTCACATTTCATTCAGGAATTGCGCTGTCGCCTGTGACTTCCATGCAATTTATCCTCGCAGTTGAATCAAGACCCCCGCTCCCGCCAGAGAGCGCCTCACATTTCAGTCAGGAATTGCGCTGTCGCCTGTGACTTCCATGCAATTTATGCAGATATCGCTGAAGGAAGTTTCGGGCGGGAGCCCACGACGGGCGGGCGATCCCCTGACGGGCGGGTCGGGCGGGTGGGACATTCAAGCGGAATGCCTGAGTATGGCGAGACCGAGATTACTAAGTAAATTGTAACGGCGTCCTTGGCGCAGCGTGTTTCCTGAGCGTCGAAAGCGGTGAATGTCGACGGCGGTAGATGTCGATGGCAGCGGAGAGAACCTCGGCTCCGACGGCGGAGGGCCTCGCCCACGGCCTGTCGTGCGGCGCGGGCGACGTCGCCGTGAGCGGGTGGTCCTCGCCGAACTCCTCGAGGGACGCGCGCCGCATCGTGTAGGAGCGCCGTAGACGCCGTCGACGCCGTCGTCGTAAACGTCGCGAGGTCCAAGTCGTCGTCGTCGTCGTCGTGTTGTCGTCGCCGCGACTGGACTCGCCTCCGGATCCCGGTCGGACCGCGCGTCAGCACAGGTCCAGGGGGTCGATCTTTGCGGGAAACGCAAGAAGACAGATTGGCAGATCCTCCCTGCTCCCTCACTCCTCCGCCCTCCTCCTCCCTCGGCCGCGCTGCGTCAGATGGGTTACGAAGACTGCCGTTGGGACGGCAAGGCCTGGTAGAGAGCATGCCCGTGGGTCCTCTCCCTGGCCCCTTCTGGCCCACTGGGCCCAGCTGGAGTTTCGAGGGTGTGGACTGTAGCCCCGGGCGCGCACATGCTGGCGTGCGCCGTCTAGTCCGCTTGAAATGTCCACTCCCACTCTTCCTCTTCTTCGCTCATGCCACAACGGAGTGCAGATCCTGGGTGCCACAGTCCATACCTTCAGGTGCAATCGGAACTTGGATCCCACAGCCATGCATCGCACCGTACAGTCAAACAAAAGAGTATGGATGCAAGTTAATGCCCGTGCTGCAGCAAATGAAGCGCTTACGCGAAAAGTCACAGGGCCGGGCAAGCGGAGATGCAAGGGCGGCCTTCACTAGCTACTGCATCCTGACTACGCCTTGGCTGTAGCGCGGAAAGAATTGACCCGCACGGTCATCCATGACGGCATGAAATCCCTCACCACACCTGCACATCGCCGGGACCCTGGTCAAATACAAATTCGCGAAACATACACATACAACACGCTTTCACCATACAGAAATTATCAACGGACTTCTGGTCGTGAGTGGTGGTGCAAGGACTTGGGGCCGTCCGTGAGTGGCGGGGTCAAGGATCCACTCCAAGCTTGCCAAATTCTGCACCGCCCATCCGCCGACAAGCTGCATGATGGAGGCACAACAAGCTGCATCAACATGCGCCCTTGGAGGTAGGCACGCAGTCATTGGATTTGTGCTGGTCCCCCACCCTGAAGTCGAACCTCGACCCTGCCCTCCTCGTCCGGCCCTCTCCTCCCTGCTCGTGACCCGAGGAGGACGACGAGGAGAACAACGACGACGACGACGACGAAGACGATGGCCATCTGGTGGCTCAGTGGCCTCCAGGACTGCCCCGCGGAGCAGCTCACACAAGGGGGGGGATGCTGCTTGCGGGGCGTCCTGGGCGTCGCTCACGACGCCAGCTTCCATCTCCAGGGGCGCCATCCTCCAGCGAGGAAGAGGAGGAGGAGGAGGAGCAGGAGGAGGAGGAGGAGGAACAGGAGGAGGGGGGGGGGAGGGGAGGGGAGTGAGGAGGACGAGGAGGAACGCGAGGATAATGATGGGGTGGGATAGTAAAAAGGACGAGGGGAAGAGAAAGAGGGCGAGGAGAAGGATTGGGCAGGGGGAAAAGGAAAAAAACGAGGAGGAGACCGGGGAGGAGGGGGAGGGGGAATGGGAGCAGGAGGAGAAACAGGGGCAGGAGGAAGAGGAGGAGAGGAGGACGCAGGGGCCAAGGATTCGGCTCGAAATGATATCCCCTCTTCCTGTGCCCTCCTCGCACGTACCAAGGGGCGTTCGAAGCCCATCAAGATTCACAAATACCAGCCTGCTGCAGCATCTGGGCACGTGCAACACGCGCCAGAAGTTACGAGAGACGGATAAAATTTATCTGATTGACAAGCAATATTGCAGAGATAAAACGCTATAAGAAGACACTGGCCAGCCATATCCTGTTCATCGTCATTCGGCGACTGAACGAGGCCCGGGCGTCTGCCGAGAGGGAGGGGAACAGATGAGGCAAGACACCAAACCTCCTCGATCACCTATCACATGCGCGAGCAGCTCATGTAGCGTCGCTAACAGTCGAGAGCTGACGAGTCGGGGCAGCCAAACCTGCAATGACAAACACGTTGTGTTACCCGCCCCTCCGCGGCCCCACCCCCGGCCAGAGCCTTAAGAATCGATATTCGCCAAGAGGGGGCGCAGAGAGGAGGCGGGCCTCGAGGTTCTGCTAGCTGATAGCACGCAGTTCCAGCTGCGAAAGTGGGCGAGGGGCCCACCTGGACACTCGCCTGGCGAAGGTCGCCTCGAGATCGCACGGAGAGGAAGAGAGAGAGAGAGAGAGAGAGAGAGAGAGAGAGACGAGCCGAGGGAACAAGCAAACGCGCGTTGCGTCTCGGTCTCCGGGCCGGCCTGCTGCGCCTCTCGGAAAGCAACAGCGGCCGCTGAAACAGGGCCCGTCAGCACCGTCGAGTCGGTGAACCCAGCCCTGGCGGCCGCAAACTCATGGACGAAGGGGCGTCGTTTCCAAAGAGGAGGTGACCGCTGACCTTGCGCCCGCAAGACAGTCGGCAGAGACCCCTTGGCCTTCTCCTGCAGACACTGCCACATCATGCTCCAATGCCCCATGGTTTCCTCGGCCGCTCTCCACAACGTCGCCACCGCGTGGACCTTCATGGACAGAGGGCGCGGCGCAGCCCACTCTCGGAGGTAGAGAAGCTGGGAGCAGGGGGGCGCGAACGGAGGGAGATGGAGCATCTTGCGCATAGCCCTGGATTCCCATTCGAGAACCGCTTGTGGCAAGGGCGCGAGCTGGCACATGTAACTGACTTCGGAGACTGCACGGGCATTGTAAAGCCTCACCGATACCAAGGGGGCAGCTTGCTGCTTTGCAATAGCTTGAACGACTCCGCCCCACTCGCGAAACGACCGAGACCGCATTTCTTCTTTAGCAGCAGGCCCGATCCACGTCCCAAGGTATTCCGCCATGGGAATGATACCCACGCCCTGCCATCGCGGGACCAGACTGGACAGGAATGCAGAAATGCGCAGACAGAGTGACCGAGCGAACTCTCATTGGAAAGGCACTACACAGCACTTCGGAATATCTAATTTCAAGCCCGCAATAACCTCCGCAGCATGAGAAAAACTCCCGGAAGTCTCGCTAGCAACTTCATTTCCGACAATTTCAGCCCAACGTCGTCCGCACACGCCCCCGCCCCCGACCCGGGACCCCCGTCGAGGCGCCCACGGAGATCGCACAAATATGGGCCCACTGACAATGCCCAGAGCGACTCCGACAGAGGGTCTCCGCGCATTACTCCTGAGCATGCCACGCAGAAGGGAAGGAGGGCACCCATGAGCGAGACCGACGCACACGCGTGCAAATACGTGGCGCGCACAAACGCACAGAGACCCGCAGACATGTCGCAGCGCTGGAGGATGGCCCAGGGGAAGGTGGCCGAGAGGGGGAACCGCGTCGTCGAAGCCGAAGTAAAGAAGAAAGAGATGGCGGGGGGATGCTTGGGGGCGCTTGCTAGCCACGCGCGCCGACGCGTCCTGGAGGGCGACGTTCCCGAGAAAATCTGCACCTGGACTGAAGCCGCGCTGATCAGGGCGCGCCTGAGCGGGAGTGCTCGCTTGATCTGCCGACAGAAACCTTCGTCCCATCTTCTGCTTCGGAGTGCCCACTGCAGCCGACGGCACCTTAACGTCAGCATTCTTGAGCGCAAATGGTCCAGTCGTTGCTGTTTCTCTCAATGCGCACACTGGATCCCCGAGACGTTTTCCTGCGGCAAAGACGAGAAGCAATTCATTGAGCTCCGTCGGCGGCGGCCGGCCTGCCAGCGGCTCAAGGGGGGGATCATGAAGGATCGAGGCGGAGATGGGATGCCGCAGCCATGCGGCACGCGGCAAGTCATCTGGGCCAGGCGCCGTCGGCTTGGCCCGCCCCAGGACACACTGAATCAAGCGCCTAGTGGAGGGGGGGCAACCTCCCCCCGGCAAGACGCGCGCACACTGTTTCCTAAGTAGCGCCCGAAGCGTTTCATCGGGGCCCTTTCGGAGGCAGAGACAGGGGCCCAGTGCATCTCCCAGGGCTTCGACCACGCCAGATGGGGAGGAGACGAGGGCGCTACTCGGGGCCCTGAGAGCCTGGAGAGGGAGCGACTTGCGGACAGGGGGCCAGAGCTTGCTCCTTCGACGCTCAGCACGTGCGCGCGCAATCGCCTACGTTCCTGCATACATGTAAACTGTTTCTCCTCTGCCGTGGCCCGCGAGCTGCGAGGCCCACGAATCTGCAGCTGTAGGGCATCGAACCCCCGGCACATAGAACAGGGTAGTTTAGCGAGACGGTCTCTGAAGCACCCTCGCACTCACGAGCAGGCATCTGAATGCGCGCGCGAGCTGCAGCGGCTGGGGCCGAGGCAAGTAGCTCCGAGGCCAACAAAACATCATTCCTATTGACAGCCCGAGCGATCTAGCGGAAGATCTGGAGCCTCGTCTCCGGCGCAGGGGCCTGGGCGCGGACGAGTGAATAGCGGGCCACGCGCGCCGCCCCTCGGAGAGGCCTCCGAGCCTCACCCACGCCACCTGGCCTGGGGGTCGGAGGGGGGGGGGGGGGGTCGATTGGGAGAGCGCGAGAAGATGAGAGAGAGGTAGTGTCTGAAGGCAGGTGAATGGCAAAGAAAACGAGGGACCTCCTGTTGCGCAGCAGGCCTGGCTGGGCGCGAGGCACAAGAAGCCTTCGCTGGGCCATGGCCCGAGATCCCCGTGCCGTCGAGCTCTTCTGGTTTGGCCATCACCGCAGCCGAGATATTCCACTGCGCAAGCAGCCAGGCTTGAGCACTGATAAATATCTTGTCCAGCTGCGCATTGGAGCGCAGCGCGCCCGCCCAACCCCGACCATGTTCTCGACGCCGTGGTCTAGTCAACAGGTCCTTGTCGATCTCAGGCGCAGCCAAGAACATCGCCGACTCATCATGAACATGGAACTCACCAAGCACCATCACCGTCGATCTCAGAGGGCGCTGCTGTGGCACAGACACTTCGGCAGAATGAGAGCAGACGCGACGTGGCATCCGCACTCAAGCCGAACCTGTAGACACTGGAAATGACAAGCATGACGTCCTCCGAGCGACGACTCAGCCGGTGGGGCACCACGAGCCTTGCTTTGTAACCGCGGGGCATAACTGGGAGAGATCTCCGTATATCGCATTCTGCCCTCAGCCATGGCCGCGCTCGCTTCCGTTGAGACACACCAGTCAAATCAATAGCTACACAACTTGCGTGATGACGCGGACAGGACGATAATATAAGCACTTCCTTGCGATACCTGGGCACATCTTTATGCTGCAATTCCTCCATCGATCCATGGGCTTCCTGAAGTGCAACGACTGTGTTCGGGGAGATAAGGCTCGCCTGCTTGTTGCACTTGATGCGACGCAATGCTGGGCGATGGCGTAGAAGCGCGCGAGTGTTCCAAGTAAGGAACGGTATAGAGGAATAACTACGAAGGGAAAGAGACCCCGTCCATGTCTGAAGAATCGTGCTAAACTTGCCACCGAATTTCAGCCGCAACGTTGACTACACATTGAAACGAGCCAGCACCTGGTCCTTCTCCAAACCCTGATCGCGAACTGCAGCGTAGATCCATAAAAATCGCAGACGTACAGGTACCCCAAGTCCAATCTCGAGCTTGACACACGGTGTGCGTTCCACGCACTGTACCCTCGTTCCTGTCGTGCCTGACACGCTTCGTGGGGTATAGGTATTTGAGAATATGCGCAACCGGTTTGGATTGCACTTCTTCCTCCGGAACCCGCCCCCCCCCCCCCCCTCCGAAAATACCTCCCCTCCCCACCACCACCCCACCCCCTGCTGGAACCCCTCCTCCCCCCTCGCCCGGCAAAACCCCCTCTTCCCGAACCCCGCCCCCCCCCCTCCCCCTTCGAAAACCGACGGGGGGTCACTACCGGTTCGACCCCCCCCCCTCGAAAACTGGGGGGGGCACTACCGGTTCGACCCCCCCCTCGAAAACCGAACGGGGGGTCACTGCCGGTTCGAATCCCTCCCCGCCCCCCCTCTCACCGCCAGCAAACGGTCCCCGGCCCCTGCCGCCGTCCTCACCACATCCCCCACTGTTGTTCCCAGCACCACTCACCACCACTGTCCCCTCTGGTCCCACCACCGCCCCTACTGCCCCCACCAGTGCCAGCACCACTGTCGCACTGTCCCCACTGTCCCCACCACTGTTCCCACCACAGCTCCACTCTCCCAACTTTCTCCACGGCCCCAACCACTGCCCGACTATCCCCAGTCCCCACTGTGCCACTGACTCCTCCGCTGTCCCACTGAGCTGTCCCACTGTTCCCACCGCTGCCCCCACTGTCCACACCACTGTCCCCCCTGTACCTCTGTCCCATTGACCCACCGCCGTCCTCGCCACCGCCTTCACCACTGTCCCCACCACCACTGTCCCCTCCACTGTCCTACTGTTTCCACCACATTCCCACTGTCCCCACACCGCTGCCCCCACCACCACCGCCCCCACCACTGCCCCACTGACTGCCCCCACTGTCCCCGCCATTGTCCTCACCATTGTCCCCGCCACTACCGTCCCCACCACTGTCCCACTGTCCACTGCCCCCACCACTGTCCTGCCGCCCCCTCACCACCACCGCCCCCGCCACTGTCCGCACCCCACTTCGGTTTTCGAGGGTTCGAAGGGGGGGGGTTCGAACCGGGAGCGACCCCCCCCCGGTTTTCGAGTTCGAGGGGGGGGTTCGAACCGGCAGTGACTACCCTCCCTGTTCATGATGAGCTGGGGGGGGGGCGGTTCGAACCGGCAGTGGCCCCCCCCGGTTTTCCGGAGAGGGGGGGGAATGGTTTCGAACTGGCAGTGACCCCCCCCCCCCCGGTTTTACGCCAGCAGCGGTAGAACACGCTCTTTCATCTATATATATAGAGAGACGGAAAATATGCATATATATATGTATAAACAGAGAGAGAGAGAGAGAGAAGAGAGCTCAGACGCAGCCTGGACATTGACACGCTCCTGCTGCTCACACAACGCTCGCACCAGGTCCGCCGTCTGAAGGCTGATGTCGCTGACCACGAGTCTACGAGCCTTGTCGAACTGCTTGCTCTCCGCCGACTCCAGGTCATTCTCGAAATCTGACAAGAGGGTGTCGAGGGCAGTCCGCGATACATAGGAATAAGACCAGGAAAAGACACTGCCCCCAGGTGGGGCCTGGGCGGGGGCAATTGCCTCCATGATGGCATTTGGTTGCCCACATGGGCCGGGCTGCTGTGCTTGCCACGGGTCGGCAGACCGATCGCCAGCACGACGTTGCGAAGGCGGAGCAGCAGCAGACCGAGAGCCCTCCTTGGATCGGGAAAGGCTGTGCTCCTTCTGCCAATTGGCTCTCGCACGCGGGGGAGACCAATGGCCATCTGCGGGCATGAGAGCTGGGAGAACCGGGAATGGACGACGCTCCAGCAGGAGCTCACAAAACAACTGATCAACACTTGGGAGCAAGTCGGGGCAGGTCCACAGGTGAGAGACACACGCCGAAACACCTCTCAAGTCTGCCGCACAGCTGCGAACAAGCTCGAAGCCTCGCGGCAAGGTTTCGAACTTGAGCCAAAACGGCTACGGAGTCCTACCAGCCCTCTGGGCTTAAGTGGTATAACCCTTTGTATTATTCTCTCTACCCCTCCCACCCCCCCCCCTGGGCCTGGGAGGGGGGGGGGGGGGCGGAAGCGCCGCGGCGTCCGAGATGGCCGAAGAAGTCTCCAAGAAGGCTTCAAAGCCGCAAGATGGCCTCCAAGATGGCCCGCGCGACTTCAAGATGGGTCAAGATAGCCTCCGACATACCCCCAAGGGGCCCCAAGACAGCCCCTAGGACGGACCCAAGTGCCCCCGAGCCCTCCACAGCGCCCTCCGAGATGCCAAAACCCTTCGGAAGCCGATGGAAGATCAATGTGTTTAGCATGATCGCCCTTTCGCGTCCGATGGGATTGGCAAGCCTCAAGACGGCCCCAAGATGGCCCAAAAGAGGCCCGAAGGCGGCCCAAAGATCGCCCAAGAGCGCCACAAGAGGACCCCAAGATGCCGTTTGAGAGCCTCCGAGGGGGCGACGCTAATTGAGGGGCCTCCTTTTTGTTGAGCCATGGGGCCCAAAATGACCCCAAGAGGCCTCCCAGCATCTCCCCAAAGACCCCCCACCCCGCCCTGTTTGTAAGCAAATCTGGTTTTCAAAATGGCCTAAGATAGCCAAGCATGGCTCAAGCAAGCCTCCGACAGACCTCCAAGAGGCCTCAAGGCAGCCTCAAGATGGCCCAAGATAGCCGAGCATGGCTCAAGATAGCCTCGGACAGCCTCTAGCTGAGCTTGGCTCAAAGATAGCCTCCAAAAAGGCCTCAAGAAAACTGCAATCAATTCTGGATGGGCTGGTGGGGGCACTTTTTTTGTCGGCGGCCGCGCGACAAAGGTCTGGCGGCAACAGGCGTGTCCGGGACGGCGGAACAGGCAAATTCCACGCGAGGCGTGCAATGCGCGTGCGCTGAGCAAAATGCTCCGCATTCACTGGGGCGCACCTAGCGCACAGAGGTGCAATCGGCGGAATAAATCGCCCTTGCGGCGCCAAGCTCCGAGCAACTGCCCAGACAGACAACTATGTGCCAACCTGGGGCGCCAGCTGCACGCTGGTGGGGGTACTTTTTGGTCGGCGGCCCCGAAGCAGCGGACAGGGGGCGGAAGGCGTCGCCTGGGCCAGCAGGCGACGCTAATTAACTACAACAGGCCACGCACCTGCAGTAAGAACCCGCAGAGAGTGCGAGGTGCGCACATGCACTGAGCAAAATGCCCCGCATTAGGGCGAAAGCACCTAGGCGCCACCCGCATCAAGGTGAAGCAGACCGCAGTGCTATGCAACGGAGAAGTCGCCCTGTCGGCGCCAGTCCGCGCAGCCCACCTAGCCGAAGCGAGGTAGAACTAAAGCGACACGCTGAAGGCTGAACCACTCAGCGCGAAGTCCGCACCACCGCCGTACGCGGGGTCGGCTAGAACAAGGGCAGAGGGAAGGCAGGGACCTACAGAGCTCTCACTGCACGATCCACACCGGTGCCCGCGGCGGGGCCTGTGCGTCAGCCATCGTTTCCGAAACCAGTCACAGGCCAGGAAGCAACGCTGAAAGAAGACGCGCAGGCCCAAGCGCCAGCACTGCCGCCAAGCGGGTGCCGGCCGAAGGTCGCCGAGGTACGCTGCAGCCGCGGCCAGCTCACAGGCGCCGGGGTGTAGTCAGGGCTGAATCTGACCACAGAGAGAGCCGGGGGACGGCAAGCAGCAACAGAGCACTCACTCCGCGGACCGCGCCGCTGCCCGGGGGGGGCCGGTGTGTCGTCATCGTAACTGGTGGGGGTGCGCTTTTTTGTTCGGCGGCTCCAAGGAAAAGCCCAGGGGGCGGTCACAACGTCCGGGCCGCGGCGCATTGTAAATTGGCGATCCAGCCGTCACTGTCGACAGCAGACCGCTCCTGCAAGCGAGCTCGCAGTTACACATGCTCAGTGCAAAGTGCACTGAATTCGCAGGCGACGCACATAGGCGCAGCAGCGAACCAAGAGACGCAGCTACAAGTGCGAAGACAGCTGAGAGTCGCCATAGCGGCGCGAACACAGAAAACCGGGCGAAGTGAGCGAGCAGAAACACTAGGCAGCACCCTGTGCGGCGGTGGAGCCACGGCCTAGCGCAATGCACTCACAAGCGCCACGGCAGGGTGGACCACGTGGGATGCAATCAGAAGAAGAACACTGATGCTCATCGGCGAAGGACCACCTGCGGCTGAAGCCAGCGTGCGCACGCAGTATCGACACAAACAGTGCGGCGAAATAACGGTGCACAGCTGACGAAAGCTGCGCAGACTGCTCTGCGAAAGGGGGGGGCGACAGCAACAGCGGGAAGCTGATCACTCACTGCGCGGCCGCGCCCAGGGCAAGGCCGAGCCAGGCGTAGCCCTGTCCATGGTTGACAACAGCGGCCGGTGCCAGCGAGCTGATGTCCAGGGCTGCGGCGAGAACGACAAAGTGGCAGGCCCGACCAACCACTGCGTCGTCGCACTCACCCGAACAGGTGGTTGAACTGAGCACCAACCAGCAGTGTAGACCACCGGTATGTGCACGAGAAAGCCATCTCCAGCCAGTAGCCAGTGTAACACACCGCACCCGACTCACGCAGTTCGGGGGCGCAACGGTGCGTGCGCAGGCAAGGTGGCGGCCTGGGCTGCAAGTCTGCGTCGTGCCGTGCACCGCGACCAGGGCCGCGGAAGGCTGAACCACTCGCAGCGGGCATGCAAACGAGACATATCCGAGCCACGGCCACCGCCACACCTCCCACCGTGTTGTTTTTTTTCCGCGCACGCCCCCCAGCAGCGCGAATGCGGGGGCCGGCAGTGCCTGCACCGACAATGCCGTCTTCGCGGCGAAGAGCCGCGGCTTGCCCAGCAGAGGGGCATGAACGGGGGGGGTGGGGCTGCACTAGGGAAAAAAAGAAAAGGGGGGGGGCTCAGAGGTCTGAGCCCTCAGACTCGCCCTCCGAATCAGGCGCCGGGATGGCAAGACTTTGCACATGCGTGCCAGTCGCGCGGCCCCCGCAGAGGCTGCAGTCGCGCAGTACTACTCGGATGTTCTGCCTGGCATCCCGGTGCACCCGGCGGAAATGAGTGCCCAGGTGGAGATCGCGCTCAAGCGAACATCTAAAACGCACCTGTTCACTAAGAAGCGCAGACACGGGAAAGGGATGAGTCCCCATCAGCGGGATGTTGCACACGGAGGCCTTGATGTTGTTCGGGATTCGCACTGCCTCGCTCTCGGACATCTCCTGGATCGCAGTGGAGTTGCTCGAGATCCACTCAGCCACATGCTTGAACATCACCTGGATTGCCGCGGAGTTGTTGGCCAAGGCCGCCATCTCGAGTCCCTCCAGCGGGATGTCGCACAGGGAGGCCTTGATGTTGATCAGGGTCCACTCCACCACGTGGTCGAGCATCTCCTGGATCGCCGCGGAGTTGTCGGCGGAGGCCGCCATCCTGAGGTCCTTCACCGGGATGCCGTACAGAGAGGCCTTGATGTTGTTCGGGATTCAATTCGCCACGCGCCTGAAAGTCTCCAGGGTCGTCGTGGAGTTGCCGGCGAAAGACGCATTGATGTTATTCGGGATCCGCTCCGCCACGCCCTCGAACACCTCCTGGATCGCCGTGTAGCCGTAGGCCAAGGCTGCCATCTTGAGGTCCTTCAGCGGGGTGCCGCACTGGGAGGCCTTGATGTTGCTCGGAATTCGCTTCGCCACGCTCTTGAAAATCTCCTGAATCGTCGTGGAGTCGTCGGCGAGGGGCGCTTGGATGTTGTTCGGGATCCACGCCGCAACGCTCTCGAACACTGGTGGGGGCACCTTTTTTTTTGGTTGGCGGCTCCGAGGACAGATCCTGGAAGCGGGTCGGACACGACTGGGGCGCAGAGCGAGACAATTAGCCGCAGAGGCGCATAGGCCACTGAAGCGAGTGCACTTGCAAGGGGCAAAATGACCCTCATTGGGAGCTGGCGCTGGCGGCCCGACAGAGGGAAACACAAGCGCAAACCTGGAAGCGGACGGATGGGAGCCGTCGCACTCGCCGCGCCAAGCTCCAGCCGCACTGGACAGCGCGACGCGCTGCACTGCGGCGGCACGGGGCGGCCAGGCGCGGCCGCGCCGCCCATGCAACAACGGGCGAGGCAAGAAAGAAGGAGGGGGGGCACGGCGGGCGCAAGGGCGCCCGGCAGAAGGAAAATGGGGGGGCACAGACGGAAGCCTCATTCACAGTGACTCACGGGGCGCCCTTGGGCAAGAGAACGACCAGAACCCAGTCAAGGACCAGTCTACCGCGTCGTCTGCCCCCACAGCCTGCCACTTGTCCGACACTGCGGATCGGGGGCGTAAAACTGCAAGCACTGGTCGAGTCACATGGCCAAGCCCGCAGGGGGGGCCGCGGTGATCTGCCAGAGGATGAACCATTGCGCAGATGCTGAACGCGAAGGCGACGACCGCAGACGGGACCCTGTTGTCGACGTCGCCAGCGTTCACCGCGAGCAACTTATCCGACGCGGGGGCCGGGGGCGCAAAGTCGCGAGCGTAAGCCGGGACAGCTACGACGGACGTGCTGGGGGATCCGCGGTGACCCGCCAAAGGATGAACCACTCGTGCAGGAGCACGCCCAAACCAGGCCCGGCATCGGGTAGTGC